TTTCCAGTTCAGAACTGAACCCACTCCCGTTCTGCATCTCCCACGCACAGTCCACTGAATCTCTTCCCAAGGCTTCCATTGACCTCTTCCCAACGGCGCCTCACAACTGATACTGCACCTCGTTCTCTAAGCTGCCTTCAACATCGCAGACTGTATTTCTCTCTCCCCCCCCATGCACATATCTATCTCTCTCACTCTTTGCACTCTCCTCTCTGTCAACTGTCCCTGAAGAGACGGACTTTCATCCTATATGACTCTACACCCATTCTCAGGTAATTTCAGCGACATCCTCAAACACCTCTATGTTGTCAACTTTCAGGTGTCTCAGTCACAGACCCATCCAAACTAAGATTTCAGCCTTTTTCTAACAAACATTTTCTGTGTACCTTGTTGCACATGCAAACGCAAAAGAAAGTCTCTGTCTCAACTCTCCTTATACACAGCACCCACTGCTATCACCCTGCTTGCCATTCAATGTGTTAATCCAGTATTATGAACAGACAATATCCACAGCTCGTGCTTGCCTTTTGTAAAAGACCTGCCTCTGTCCTTCACAGCCACGTAAAAAGCACTGCTCTAACCATCACCTTCTTAGCCCATTTGCCCTGATGAGCTTCTTTGCTCCCTGCCAATACCTCCCATTCTGCCTTTAATTAAACACGGGTACTTGTCCTCAGTTATAAAGTGCTAGCCAATACTGCTCTCCTGCTTAGGTTACAAGCTACCTGGAAGGAGAGACGTATTTACTGCCTTGTCTCATCGTGTCTAGACCCACTTGGTTTGGCAGGCACCATGCTAACAGAAATTAGTAATTCATAACACTGCCTTACATTGCATGAGAAGGATACACTTCATTTTCAAGAACAAATTTCAGTACTGAACCTAATAAGACACTTCTAGAACTTCTTAGATGTGAAAGATTTTCTTCTTCACTTTTCCATATACTCCCCTGCTAACCTACATTTATGACAGAAGGGACAGAGAGGTCCTGTTAATTAAAATCTTATCTTCCTTTTCTCCCTTTCGCCTAAGAATAAGAAAGCCATGGTGCACCCTGCACTTGCTAACCTGCTACCCTGCACTCGCACTCCTGCTTAGTATCACCATAAGCACATGAAACTTGCTTTGCCACCCAGAACATTTCCTATCAAAGGGAAATACTGCTTGTTTCAGTATATAATTAGCCTTTAGTACCCTACCGAATTAACTCTGCTCACATGAAAGACCTGCACACTGACATGATTTTATTTTTTTCCCCCAGAAGTCGTATCAGGGAAAACGCAGTGAGATCTGTCAAACAAAAAGGAAAGAAAAAGAAGTAAAGGTCTAGAAAGCTATAAAGATTAGAAGAAGGGGGAATAAGATCTTACCAAGCCTTCTCAAAAAAACTTCACTGTTCTCTGTCACATACATTCAACATTTATCTCAAAAGTTTTTGTGTTGCTATTAGTCTGGTACACCCCAGTGCAAAAACTAATATGCCCATGTATATCAGGACAACTTCTTCCTCTGTAATACACAGCTCTATCAATACACACACTGTAGGAAAACCAGTCCACGTGCATCTGACAGATATGACTGCATTCATGCAAACACCAAAAAAAAAATATCAAATTCTAATTGAAAACTACTCTCCCTTAAAGAAGGATGTTGGCTCCAACTTTCAGTTTCACACTGTTTTCAGCCCCAGCGGTGATTACCACTACCAAAAATTGAGAGGAATCTGGACCTAGTAACGAGAAGCAATCTAGCCATTTTTACTCACACAAAAATGTGTGTTTGAAAACACAATCCATCTGATAATACACCTGTGCATTAGCAGTTCCTTTTTTCCCCTTTAGGAACTTGAACCAACTACAGTTACTGCAGTTTTCATTACTTTGGCCATGTGCATTCCCTCTTCCACACCCTGCAAGAAAGCATTTACCAGCAACATCACCTGAGCTAAACGAAACTAACAGTCAACAGAAAAGAAAGGGGAAGGAAAGAATACGTGGGTATGTTTCATGTTGCAGGGTTTGTCCAAGAGCACATTCGAAACAATCAATGAAAAAGAAACACTCATTGCCAGTTTTATATAACAGATCTCCTTTCAACCGTGCATGTGAATCACTTTTAAAAATTCATTAATGCCAAAACAACAAAGTGATTTAATCTCTGCGTCATTCTTTAAGTTCTTAGTGTAGACTCACAGGTTCCATATCTCTAGTCATCTTTTTGAGATTTAAAAAAAAATTAACATATAGAGAAAAATGTGCTCTGTGTTTGGAACTGTGTGAACATTTCTGATTCCTGGGCGCTCTCACCAGATTAAAAAAACCTAATATCTAAAGGAAAGCATAAAGTTAATTTCTTACAAGTGACAGGATCAGTGAAGAGGTGTTACCTATTTCTTAGCAGGAGCTTTAATCACAGTGTGATGGAAACAGAACTAGGCCTTATCCACGCTACGAAGCTCCCCTAGCCTGCCACACTTTCTCTAGCGCTTTCAGATTTTTGCTTCTGCTGTGGCATTTGGGATAATTATTTTAGCAGCCCAGTTTACAGCAGCTGTACTTGAGAGCTAAGGAAGCACCGAACTACAGCATGGGGAATGGACCAGAGTCAGACGCTGAGGTAACAGTCTGACTTCGTTAACCAGCCTTATCACCAGGCAAAGCATTTCTGCAGCTACACTCTTACTCTCACCCCTAACACAACTGAACCTATTGCAGATAATGCTATACTGGAAAAAGCCAGCTTCCTAGCCCCTGTAAGATGTTATTTTTAGGCTAAAAGGTAGAACTTGTGACAAATTAATATGTCTAACCAGAAAGCATTTCTAGAAGCCATCCACTGCAAAGACACAAGATGTACATCCAGTTTCTTCCACGTGGGAAGGTCAGGAGTTAGGGTCCAGAATTCCAGACTGCAGCCCAGAAATCTGAAGCCAGGTAGTAGTTAAGGAGTAAGAGAGAGACCAGACTTCTTAATTCCTCCAAAAAAATCTAGATGCTCCAAGAAGATGTCACCAACAAGGTTTGCAAGTTTTCAAGTGAGGAAAAAATAATAAGTTATTTGATCAAGTAGCTCAATAACAGAAGAAATTAGAACTTAAATAACCATGCGCCACACACCATTAAGAATTGACTTGCCTCTAGTTTTAGCCCTAGAGGCTGCGCTGCTAGCTGTTCAAGCAAAAGGAAAGCTTCCTTCACAGTACCTACCGAAGTTACACCTGTTTCATAAGATCTACCTTCACATCCACTCAATTTTCCTAGTCCAAATCGCATACGACTGGGACTGTCATCTGTAAATACATTCCCAAACACATGCCACTCTGTTCTTTGCTGGAAAGTTTAAAAGTAGGATCCCGTATTGTATTAAACTTTCAAAAACACTAAAAAAGCCCCAAATCTTCCACATTAAAAAAGTTTAAGAAGCACCAAGTTTATTTACTATTTCTATGCGACAATTTTGACTCTTAAAATAGCAAAGCCCAGCAGTACAGCAAATACACTGGCATCGGATATATTCGGAGTAATCAAGACCTGAAATACACTCTCTATACTTGACTAAAGAAGTCAACAGACTTTGAATTTCACTTACTAAGAAGTACCAGGTATAAACACACCTTAAAACCTAACACATTGTATAAGCTCTCACCCCAGCCTACTGGCAGCTCAACTACTTTTCCCAGATAAAAAAGAAAAATATTCCTGTATTATTTTATTAACCCTCAAAAGACTACGAGTACTTCTGCAGCCCCTGTTCTTCTCTGATTAACTGCCAGCTGAAAACTAGGCTGAAAAAACGCGGGTATCAAGCCCACCTCCCGCCCTCCACCCCACTGCAGGCCCCCAAGGCTTCTGCTTTCCAGCCAGGCGTCTCCCACCGCGGGGTGCGGGGAGAGGGAAGCCGCTGCCCGCGGAGACGCAGCCGGCATCGCCCGAGACGTTACAGCGGGAGGCCGAGGGGAGGAGGGGACACCGGGAGAAGCGGGGGGAGGCAGGAGCGCTCTCGCCCGCCTGCTCGGAGCCCAGACCGGGGTCCCACCGAGCCCTGCGCGGTGACAGACCTGTCCCCGTACCGTCTCAGGCCGCCGGCAGGGGCGGGGCC